CCAATAAAAAAGTAATATGTACTCATAAACTAATAAATTATTTAGATAACTGATATCTTAAGAGTAGCTAATCCTTAAAATAATTAAAATGAATAAAAATGAAAATAATAAAAATGAGTTAACTAGAACCTCTGGATAGATGAGATCTACAGAGAGAGCATCAAATATTACAAACTATACTCTGGAAGGTAGGTTTTATCATGAATATAGTTTATAATAAGTTTTGAGAGTAAAGACTGAATTATTTATAAAGATAAAGGGAATTATAATTATTCTAAAAATTTTCTAGTACTAATACTTATAAGTATTATATCAACACAAGATAAAAATGAAGTAAAATGAAATTATAAAATGAAGTTATAATCACGAATATTAAACTAAGAGATAGTACTAAAAATTAAGTAACAAATACTAATACAAAAATAAAAGATTTAGTATGCTAACTAAACCCTTCAATAGTATCTTTTCAATTATTAGGTAAATAAAGAGTATATATCAAAATAAATTAAAGCTTTTTTATATAAGAAAGCTTACAAGAATCTTCTAAATCAAATAAAATATATTTGACTTATTTTAAGTGAAGAATATTCACTACCTATATTATTTAGATAAGAAAAATATATAAATAATCTGAATATAATTTATTATGATAAAAGAGATAAATAAAAGCAAAATATTAAAGCAAAAATCAAAGAAAAATTATAAGATAAGTATAACTCAAGTATTTTTAAAGATAATTGAATTATTACTATTCAAGTATATTTATTTCATATCTAAAAGTAAAGATATTTATATATTTTTAAGATTTTATAAGTTTTTATCTAAACTCATTTGCTACTCTAGATTATAATTACAAAACTTGAGACAAAAAATCAATAAATAAATAAGTAAAATAAAGAGATAAGATATATATAATAAGTTATAAGATAATACAAATAATAAAATTAAATAAAAAGATAGTATAAATATTTTAAAAAGAAAAGATAAATAATAAAAATAAATTAAATTTGTTACTAAATTATTTCTAAAGTATTTTTAAATTATTATTAAATTATTTATAAATTATCATTGATTTTGATAATAATTATTTATTTATAATCTTGAAGTATTATTAAAATATTGCAAAAATATTGCTAAACTGTGATTGAATTTATAACTAATATATTAATTATATTATTCAAAATTATATATTATTCAAAGATCAATTAATTGGTTAAAAATTCTAAGTTTCAAAAATTATGTAATTAAAGAAATTTATTTTACTATAGTAATAATATATAAATATTATATTATAAGTAATTCAAAAATATAAATCTTAAGATATAGTATTTAAAAATAGAAATACAATAATAAATATAGTAATAAAAATAAATATATAATATAAAAATAGAGATATTTATAAAATAAATAAGAACTATAAAAAAATATGATTTTATATAATCAAGAAAAGATTAAGAAATTAAGAAATTTTATATCATTATAATAATAATATTATATAAATATTATATAAAAGTTAATTTTATTAAATATTATTTATATATTATATTATATTATAGCTTTTTGATCAAAAAACTAAAGTATAAATATATTAATAAAAAAAATTATTAACCTTATTATCTTCTAGAAATATTTATTTATAAAAGAAGTTCAAAAATATATACAAAAAAAAAAGAATATTAATATATCAATATCTATTATTTATCATATATTATAAGATAATGATTTAATATTAAAAATAAAGAAAAAAACTCTATTTAAGTAAAGAATATTAAATAAGATAATTAGAATTTATATAAAATTATGAAAATTAAATTATTATAGATTAATTAAAAATTATATTGTCTAACAAGTTTAAGTTTAAGATTTTTAGTTTTGATGAAAAATAATATTACTAGAAATATCTGAATGAGTTTTTAAATCAATTTTATATTAAAATCTATAGTAAAATTTGAAAATAAATCAGTAATAATTTAGGAGATATTTTATATTTTGGAATATTGATGATTTTTATAAGATTGATAAAATAATAAATATTAAATTATATCAATAAATATTTTATAAAAATCTTATAAATACTATTAGAAATAATAAATTTATTATCAGAAATATTATATTTTAACAAGATAAAAATTCTAAGCATATGATAAATTTAATAAAACAGTAACTTAGAGATAATAGAGTTAAAGTATTGGATTGGTCATCATAATTCTCTAATTTGAATCTTATTAAATATTTATAAAAGGAGATTAATCATTATTTTTAATATCTTTCTGGATAAATTTTGAATAAAAAGAACTTATGGAACAAGATATAACAGATTTAGCAAGAAATCAATATTAATACCTGTATCAACTTGATTCACTTTGTGTCAGAAGGATTTGTAATATAATAAAGATATGAGATAGCTATACAAAATAGTAGAATAGGCTAAATTCTATATAATATATATATTTAAATAGAAAAAATCAGTATTTTAGTTTAGTTTTATATGTTATATTTGAATTATATTCAAAAAGAAAATAAATAGTACAATAATACTTATCAAATAAATATATAATTTATAAAATAATTGACTTTTAAATCCATATTTAATTTTTCTATCATAAAATGATACTATTAATGAATAAAACATATTAAGAAAAAAAGAATATCTCCAAATTTGCATGAAATATTTTGATTTTAACAAAAAATATTTTTTTGTTATATTAATTATGATTGCCACTATATATATTAGTCTATTATTATTATTATTAGTCTATTATTATTATTATTATTAGTCTATTATTATTATTATTATTAGTCTATTATTATTATTATTAGCTTTTTATATAAATTTAATAATACTTTAATTTCTTGAAATATTAAGTTTATAATCTTCTTAAAATTAATATATTAAATTTTGATCATGCTTTATTTAAAATAGTCTTGAACTTTTTCAAGATTCTTGAGAAGCTTTTACTTTTACTTATTATTCTCAATAACTTGCAGATATCTTTATAAAATTAGAATCTTGAAAATATATTAATCTTTGATTTCTCTATTTGAATTTATTTATGATTCTTTTTTCAATGTAAAGCAAGTACTATTTTGCTGAAAATTATTTTTTCTCAAATCAATTAACAAATTATAAAAAGTGATAAAATTAGCTTAGAAAATTTTCAGGTAAGTTTTTGTACAGATTATTTATTCTAATATCATGAAATGACTCAGGTTCTCTTTAATCTCTTTTAAGTGTGCAATTTTGTCTTGATTGTTAAGATCTTATATCCCAGACTATAGTAAATTTTCATTTTTCTTATTTCTTTTGTACTTGGCAAGAGATATTATATTATCATCAAATTATGGCACATTGTTCTTGTAGCTTGCTTGGCACTCATAACTTTAATCATAATTACTATATTACTTTTGTCGACTGAATATGTTAGGTATCAAATTTTCATTTAACAAATTTCATCTAGTGTATGTTTAAAAGCAAAAGAAAATAAAAAAAAAACTTAGGGTCAACAATAACAAAAAGGGGCATATGTTGTTACACACTTAAATCGGGGGCGTTTACTTTATGTGGTGACGAAAATGTAATCAAACAACTCAAAAGTCATGAAATCAAACTCCCAAGATCAAATTGAAAATGATGTTTTTATATAACATCATTATTAAATATATTCGAAGTATATTTATGAAATATTTATTGTATCGTATCGTATTGTGTAAATGAAGATAATTACTGCATAAAAAATAAACCTATATAAAACGGAACAAACAATTTCAGTTTATTAGATAATTATTATTATTGTAAATTACGAATTATTAAAAAAATTTCCTTACATATACTGCAAAGTCAAAAATTATTATAATGTTCTGATAAATCAAGTTATATATTATTTTAATATGACATATTAAGTTCAAAAATAATTTCTTTTATTGTATATAATCAGGTAATCTTTAAAAGGGCAGTTGTATAAGAAATTTAATATTTACAAATAAAAATAATTGGAATATTTAAATTTTCAAAAAAAAACCAAAATGATTTTCTCTTTCATCAAGCCATCAAATATTCGATCAAGGCGTACAATTTTTCTTTTGACAATGGTGCCAGAATATTGACTAAAATTTTCGTTAGTCTCATAGGGGAAGAAGATTTTTAAATTTAATTCTTAAATATTGATATTATTGAAAATAATAAAATGCATCATGCACATACATTAAATGATATGTAAGAATTTAGTACATGTAATATGCATATAGGTTTCTTGCTCAAAGATAAAAAAGTTTCCTCTAATCAAGGGAAACTACGGAGATCAAGCCCAGAAACATCGACATGGCTGTGTATTTATTTCAAAAGCCACATACTGTACATCACTCGTTAATAAATACATGACATGGCTATGATAAGTAAATCATCCTTTATTTAAATTAATTAATGTCTGATCCACCACAAAGTAAATTCAATTATCCTTTAATTGGAGATAGCTGGAAATTTATATCATCGCCAGGTCTTTGGTCAAGAGAACTCGCGAAACAATGTGATGTTGTACGAGCATATATTCGTGGATTGAATGGGATGAAATATACAACGGTATATCATTTATGTGGAAATGAAGCATTACGAGCATTTTACGATGAAGAAACGGTTGTTCGTGGACTTGTTCATTCGCCTCTTGATTCTTATATGTTTGGCGATTGGTTGGATGTAACCCCAAAGATGAATCGTGGATCTCACAAAGAAAGAAAAGGTAAAATACAATTCATGTGAATGCGTTTGTAAAATTTAGAATGATAAACTAATTTAATGCTAATTAAAAATAAAGCTATATTATTAAAAGCCATACATAGCACTGAAAGTGTGAATCGTTTCCTTAACACGGTTGGATTGTTCACCGATGAATTTATTGAAAGTTTAAAATCTAGAATACTTCCATTTGGAGTACCTACAATTATATTATTGAATTTTCATATTCGTAACTTTTGTGCGCAAGTCACTGCAAAATATCTTTGGAGCTATGACGTGAATGAAAAACTCATAGAAAAATTTTATAATATAAATTCAGATTTATCAGGTATTTTATACATAGAATTATTTTTAAGATGACATGTTTGACTCTAACAGTTTATATGCGTGTAGAAAAACCTATAAATTGTCCGATATTTAATTTTTACGACGGATTAGAAGGCGCAAGATGGTTATTAAACTTTACGCGAAAACGTTTAATAGAGCATCAAACATTTCAAGATCAATATAATGACACATTGCAATTATTAATTAATGCTACCCCGAGGTTGACGGACGATGAAATAATCACTGAAATCAATTATTTATTCTATGTCATAAATGGGATAAGTTCAATTGTCAGTGGTGCGATCCTCCTTTTATGTAAAAACAAAAATACAGGTATGATAAATTCACGTACAAACATTATTCATTTTAGACATGTATCTGACATATTCTTTTAGAAGTATTTAGTAAAACGATGAAAGAAATAGAATCTAATCTCACCTTTTTGCAATCATACGACGCAAGTATTCTAACAGATGATTTTGTCAGAAAAAATTTCCCATATTTGGAAAACGTTGTCAAGGAAACTATTAGAATTTATCCGATTGAACCTTTAAAGTTCGGTAAGCTCTAATTTTTTGGTTACGGATAATTTTTATATATTCACACAACGTCTTTATAGGAACAGTTATTCGAGATACGATTATCAAAGGATTTATTATTCCAAAAGGAAGTGTTGTAGCTGCTGGACTCTGGGCTAATGGTAATTAAATATTCTTTCAAGTGTGTAAATAATGTTTGAATCGAAAAATAAATTGTTTTATAAAAGGGTTTAATGAGGAAAGATACCCAGATCCTGATTCTTTACGACCAGAAAGATATGAACAAGAAATAAAAGACACCGAGAATGGATTCGATTGGACTCCGTTTGGAGGAGGCCAATTATTTCAGTCTCATCGATGGTAATCTATCAAATTCTGTTCATATCATTTGAGTTATCGTTTAAATGTTTTTATCTTTTATAAAAAGTGCGGGTCAAGAAGCAGTTTTACGCACTTGCACATATTTACTCGCACGACTTTTATCAACATTTGATTTTACGCTGATCAATTTGAATCAATCATTCGATTATTCAAAATGGGTTTCACGTCCTAAAGATGAACTTCCAATTAAAATCCAATTAAAGGCAATGTCTGGTGGACAGGATTAGACGCCTGATAAGTCTATTGAAACTCCAAAGAATAGATTGAACACGATTTTAGAAAGTTTCCATTCCAAATTTTTATTTAACACCTAAATTGAAAATCAAAGATAAAAAATAAATAAAATTGTAATACGACATGTAATGACAATAAAATGTGTTTTCAAGAATAAATCATTCAATTAAAAATTTTTTCACCTAAATTGGCGCTTAACAAAACATTACATATTGATATCATTGCTTTTCTGAAAGGATGAATGCTTTGGTGTAATTATTCGAATCAGTCTTGTACGAATTAGCTTTTAGTTTATATTATTATGAAAATCAATTTTTAAAATTAGTAAAACCCTCTATAGATTTTATAATTAGAAACTGTTTTCTAAATATATATTTTATAAAAATTTCTTTAATATACATTAACTTGATAATATATATTTAGACACAGTTTTGATATACATATATAGAATTCAAAATATCTAAATATTTATTTATTTATTTATTACTAGCAAGTTAAAAAATTTAATTTTTTTAAAGATTAAATTTGTCATTAATTTATATTTTTTAAATATTAAATTTGTTATTAATTTATATTTTTGAATATAATATGTAAAGAATACTTTAGTAAAATTTCTTTATGATCATATCTCTCTATAATAATATTTTTATGCCATCATTTTTGAATTTTCCAGTTATTAATTATAATTAAAAAATTTTCTTATAATTATATCACTTTATAATTATTCAATTTATTTTTCAAGTATAATAACTATAGAGAGATCTGATTATATTATTTTAGCTAAATAATTTAAATTAATTATTTACTAAATAAATTATTCTATATTATGGTCTGGTGTATTAATATCCATACCTCAATTTAAAAGATTTTTATTTGTGTAATACTAAAACCATATCCAATAATCCAAATAAACCTATTTTCAAATAGTAAAATGATTATATATAGATGTATTTTTTTTCGCAAAATTCATCAATTTCTCATATCTAGTTCTTGCATAAATCAAACTTCTGCATTACTAATAGTAAATAAAAAATAGATAATATTAAACATTTACAGATACTTTTCTGAGACTATATCCATAAATAAACAAAATAAAAATATGTTATTATACAAGTAAGTTAGTCTGGTTTTGGAGGTTGCAAAGAGTATAATTAGAGTTATGTTATCTGATTGGAACTAGCATAATGATGGCACTTTTACATTATATTAAAATCTTGAATAGTCTAAATCTCAATCAGATGAAGATATTATATCACTTTTGTGAGTTCACTTTATGAACAGCAACAAGACAGAATAATAACTTTCCACATCTTTCTTATAACAATTTCTTTTCAAACATAGATATATACTTTTTAAGTGATAATTTCTCTAAATACTATAGCAGTTGGACTATTATTATAAACAGAAAGAATAAAGAAATATTCTTCATGAGTTATTAAATAATATTGCATTTTGCTGTTATTATTTTCATTATTATTTTGCTAATCTAGAGAATAACAATAATATTTCATATCTTGCAGAAGTTTTTCTTGACAAGTTATATTATTATTTGCATTACATATCACTGAAAATATAGATATCTTATAATAATATTATTTTAATACAGAGATATGGTCCATTATTAATAATTTTTGATATAATTATCATTTTTCAAAATGATAGTAGTAATAAGATATATTATGAGCTTATGTCAAATTCTGTTTATCTTTGGAATCTTGCAATTAAATCTTTTGAAACTTGAAAATAAAAATAACATAATATTAAAGAATAGAATAATAATCCAAATATTATTAAAAATGCCAATATTATTTTTAACTAAGTAGATTACTATGAAAACTTTAATACTGATATTTTTAAAAATCTTTTTATAATATTTTATGAAATAATTAGTAAAACATATAACTAAGTACATATTCATATAGATAATACATGTTATCATAAATAAAGAATAGAAAATATTTCAAACTCAAGTATTAAAAAAAACAAAATAGCTGATTGATTAATAGCTTATGAAATTTTTTTTCTAACAAATTACACAAATCTGAGCTTCTAGAACTTGTACAGAAAAATAAAGAAAAAGTTCTATTTACTTATGTTGAGATAGCAAAATAATATGATTATGAAGTTTTTTTATATATTCTTACTATTGTGAGTTTTAGCTAATTGAGGATATTTGAATAATAGTAAAAGATAAGATAATAAAGTCAAACCCATATTTAAATCTCTTAAATATTAAAAATAAGCTTTTAAAAGCTTTTAAAAAAATAATATCAAAAGTAATAGTAGGATTATGGAAAATAATATTTACAAGAGCCAAAAAATATAAAGAATTAAATAATAATATAATTTTATTAGATAAGAAAATAGATAATGATGATAATTTTGATAACAATAATGAATTTTAATAAAATTTTTATGATATAATAAATTTGAATATCTATTTATTTTTTATTTTTTTTTAAAAAAAAATTTATATGTAGAAATTAGTTTTATTAAGATTATTATAAAACACAGATATTTTTGCACCAAATCATATATATATATTAAATTTTAAAAAAATACTTATAATTAATAATATATTTTTTTATATTATAATTTTGAATATAATTCAAGTGAAAGATAAATAAATATATTATAATCAGATTATTTAGTATAATAAAAGAGAATAAATAATAAAATTATTTTATATAAATTATTTTAAAAAAATTTTAAATTTATATAATTTTATAAAAATCTATTTTTATTTTTTTATAATTAATTTAAAAATATAATTAGTATAATATATTACTTAAAAATGTTTTTTATATATTATATTATTTAACTATATAATTTTATTTTAAAAATTTATTAAAAACTTTTTTTTAACTTTTAATAAGTTTATTTATAAAATTAAAGAATTTTTAATAATTTATAATAAATTTTTATTATTTAATAAGTAAAATTTAATTAAATTTTTATATAAAATTTTTTAAAACTTTGATATATATATAATTAAATCTTTCAATTATTTTTAAAATTAATTTTTTAATGTAAAAAATAATTAGAAAATAATATTATTATTATTTAGAAGATAATTTTAAGCAAATTTGTTAATAATTATTAAAAAATATATAAAAATTTGTTTTTTAAATTATTTTTTATAAAGATTTTAATAAATTTAAGAAATTAAATTTTTTATTAATTATATATAGACAATAATAAAAAAACTTACTTTATAAATTTATTATAATTTAATAAAAAGTTTACAAAAAATTATTTATTAAAAAATATTAATATTTTTAATTAATTTATTAAGTTAAAAAATTAATTTAAAAAATAATTTGCAAAATTTTGTTATATAATTTGCTAGTTAAAGTTTTATAAAAAAATTTTAACTATTTTTCTTAATTATATAATAAAAATTTATTAAATTTTTATATAAGATAACTTATTAAAATTATTTTTAAAAATTTTGAGATAATTTTTTGAAAAATTAAATTTTTCAAAGTTAATTTAAATTTTAGAGATATTATTAAGATATTTTATTAAATTATATGATTTTTTATTCTTAAATATTAAAAATATATATATATATAAATTATTTTCATTATTTAAAGGTTTTTTTAAAAGAAAATTTATAATTAATTTATTACTAAAGAAGATTTATAAGAAATAAATTATAAATTATAAAAGAAATATTCAAAATAATAATTATATAAATTTAATAATTTTAATAATAACAGTTCAAATATTTATTTATCTTGATTTAAATTTTAAAAAATCAAATATTTTTTTAAATTAATAATTTTTGAATAATATTTAAAAAGTTCATTCGAATGCACAACATCCCGAATGCCCAAAATCTCGACTCAACATCCCGAAAATCCCAAAATCACGACATACTAAAATCCCGATAATGCACTTAAAAATTCTGCAATAAAACATTATGCGAAATATATATAGTGTAATAAATAATGATCACCACTATCATAAAGATTGTAAAGGGTGAAATTTGCACTAGACTCACATTAACTTTACTCTTTCATATATACATACCTTAACACTTACTTCTATTTATTTTGCCAGGATTTTAGAAATATCCAGGATGTTGGGGAGTCGGGATTTTGGGCATGTGGCGTTCGGGATTTTGGACGGCACCCTTAATAACACCTGTAATCTGACTAGTCTTTATAATTTCGTCCTTAACTCATCAATTTCTTCTACTAAAGCCCCGGTCTGTTTTCGGATAACTCGAGGACATCTATGACATAATCCTTCAATCACTTTCAGCAAAATTATTCACGGTTTTGCTCATCAATATCGTATCTTGCGAAATATAAACCACATTCCCAGATTGATCTTTTCTTTTTAAAGTTCAAAAAAACCAATACGGGTATGTTACTTATATTTCGCAAAATACGGTATACATTATTATAATGGCTCAGAAAAAACCCACATCAAAACCTTGCAATTATCCATCAACACACAATTATGATCATAAGATTCAAGTCAACCTTGAGCACATACTGCTTTACCTGATGTTTTATCCAACATTTGGCTACAGGGCCATCTGCTCCGAGATACGGGAAAACGTCAAATTGGAGTTTGATTTTTTACCATCTAACATTGGTCGAACAGGGTAGTTTTCAGCTTGGATAAACCATACACATATCTTGTGATTTGATTGGTTTGCAGAAAGATATACAAAAAATATTTCATTGTTACATCATAGTGCCGCATCATCATAGTACAGGCTTGAATTATCGTAATGCTGATTTTATCATCCCGATCATTTTAATTGGTGACCAAGAATCCCACAATTTTGTAAGTTTGATCTTTTTTATGTATTTATATTTCAAAAAGTGAGAAGCAGAATTAACATTCATGACACAGCAGTGCTTGGGTGAAGTGTGTTCAGTGATCAGCGTGTAGGCTATACATATACAATTGATGATCATGTTGTTTCAGTGGGTTAGCTTACTATGGGTATAGTTTGTTATATCAACGATCAGCG